CACAACCCACAAGCCTTTCCAGAATCTCCACTTTGCAACCGGTTGCGAATGCTTCTTAACAAGCGTATGAACTGAAAACGTCAAAGCCTGGAACCTCCAGCAGCATCCGTTACAGCAACCATGCAGGTTGGAAAGTCTTGCTGGTTGCAATGTGGGCGTTCTCCAGCCGAAATTAAGACATATACATATATATATATATATGGACATATATATATATATGTGCCTGTACGTTATATGTCTGTGTCTGTGCGTGAGGGTTCGGTATTGATGCTTCCTTGGTCGCTCACCTCACCGAGCTAGTTGAATTCAAGTAGTAGTTGATGTTCACTCTCGCATTCATAGGCACTCGGACGCAAGCTTCCTCTTGCCAGGCGATGCTCAGCCGTAGGTCTGTGCAGCCGGAAATGGCTCGAACACTTGGATCAACTTCCTACACCAGTGAGCGCTAGTGTGGGTTGTCGCAGACAGGACATCCTAGGCAGTACTTCGTATCTTTATCTTCATTTTAGCGAGTGTGTAGTGTCGTGGACAGGGCATCCTAGGCAATACTTCGTATCTTTATCGTGGTTTTAGCGGGTGTGGGTTGTCGTAGAATCTGTCGTAGACAGGGCATCCTAAGCAATACTTCGCATCTTTATCTTCATTTTAGCGAGTGTGTAATGTCGTGGACAGGGCATCCTAGGCAATACTTCGTATCTTTATCTTGGTTTTAGCGGGTGTGGGTTGTCGTAGACAGGGCATCCTAAGCAATACTTCGCATCTTTATCTTCATTTTAGCGGGTGTGTGTTGTCATAGACAGGGCATCATAGGCAATGTTTCGTATCCTTATCTTGGTGTTAGCGGGTGTGGGTTGTCGTAGACAGGGCATCCTAGGCAATATTTCGTATTTTTATCTTCATTTTAGCGAGGCAGTACATGCAGACAGACATGCAGACATGCAGACATGCAGACAGACATGCAGATATGCAAACAGACTGGTTGCAAAGTGGGGATTCTCAGGATCCACAGTTGTAAAGTGGGGATTCTCACATCGAAAACAGTGTCTGTGGTTGTAAAGTGGGGATTCTGGTTGTAAAGTGGGGATTGTGGTTGTAAAGGGGGTTAATCTCCCCCCCCCCCAAAATGTGCCGGAGACATCCCACATTGCACTCGTCTGAGTCTAAGCAGCCAGAACCCAGCCGAACCTCGTCACCACAACTCGTTAGAACTGCCAGCAAATGCCACTCTTCTTCCATATATGAGACCACTTCCGCTGCTACCAGTCAAGCAGGAGGGTCGGAGCTTCTAAGGACGAGGCAAGTCCTGCTGTAATACAGTATATGATTATCCTAGGCTTGGGGATCCACCGTTTGGCTTTCTGTATTTTTCAGGGACACTATACATCCTTGATAGTGCTTTGTTTCTGCCAGGTGGCTGACCTACCCCCGGACCCTCTTTGTTTGTGTCTTTCCACTGTTGCTGCTTCTCAGTTTTGCTCAGTCGTGCGCATCTTCCTCGAGTTTTTGATGTTTGTTGGGTGTGTCTTTACTCTTTGTGTGGATGTCGCTTGCAAAATACTCTTGCTGGCCGCGGGTTCAAAACTTAAGTGTGTTTTGCGTTGTTGTCCAGATTTTATGCTGGAAATGCTGTCTTGCTGGGTTTGCACTGCTAAGGTTTGCTGTCTTGCATGCTTACATTGTCTGCTTTGTGTATTGCAGAACAAAACATCCATACCCAAGGAATAACAACGTCCACGTTCCCAGTGCATACCGTGGGACCGAACATCCATGAGAGAAGCATGATACGAGAGGACTACTGCTTCAAATGCCAAGCGAAGCTGCTCCTAAAGGAATAAGGAAAATGGCAAGCGGGAGAGTTCTAGACTCCGACAAAGAGGCCATCGTACCAGACTTCCCATGCCTATTGGCACCAGCCCCAACCGACTTCGTTGCCTAAGCCTTCAACATTCTCAGGATTGTCAGGTCTTTGCGGTTCAGAAGCGGTGAGAAGGGGACGGATCCGACAAACTTAGGGAAGCCCTGAGCCAAGGAGTTCATGGACGGGAAGCACATGAAACTGAAAGGCAATACGGAGGCCAAGAATTGCAGAGATACTCCAACGCTCATTTCACATCGGAGTGAGTTTAGATCTCAGACCTTCGGCAACTTTGCCCACTTCTTTGGGCAGGCCACGATGTCGAACTGCGCCTCGCTGCTGAAAAGGCACCCAAGCCGTGGCCAGTTTGCTTGCGCTGATATCGCCGTGCGGACGTTTCAGGTGAGAGGTCGCGGGGCGGTTGAATGTGTTGAATGAGTTCCAGGAGCCATGCGGCCAAAGCTGGGTCGGAGCGGGCCACTACGAAGGTGGCCCGGGTGTCCTGATACTGCCTTCGAGTGCTTCAGGTGGTTAGCAGAGTTTCGGGTGGCATGTGATGACGTCCTTCCGCGAGTGTTGCTTGGATTGTGCGCCTGCAGCTTAGGGAATGTTCGCAGAGCTTATCAGACTCAACGTACGATGTCCTCTTGTAAGCTCGTGATGCTCGTGGTGAAGACAGGCATCCAAACACGGGTCAGCTGCGACTCGCAGGTGCGGCTCAAGGCGAAGCCTGCCCGGGAAGAGATCACCGCAAAGTCACTGCAGGCCGCAGAAGAGGGCTTGGAGGTTGGTTGTGCCAACGCAGCTTCCGTGAAGCCTATGCGCTAGGAATTACGGGGCAGCTCAGCAGTATAGAACATACTAGAGTAGAGCCTAGGACCTAAGAGCTATCACTTGTGAGTGGAAGGCAGAGTTGGACACGCTTCTCGCAGCCGCCGAAATTGAGGCTCGTGTTCAGTGTTGAGCACTTGAAGGCTTTGGAAATCTGCCGACTGGCAAGCTCAAAAAATTTAGGCTGCAAGCCACTCGTTTCTTGGTGGATGACGACTTGGAAAGTACCAGCTAAGTTTGGTGGTTCAGGGTTGATGGTGGATGAACTGATGAACCCATGCCTCTGATTAGACGCAGACAAGACACAACAGGTAGTGCAGTGCTTCGATTCCTTTCTGTCGGTACTTGCCGTCGGTGACTGCGAAGATTCTTTGCAGAGTGTCATGACGGGAAATGAGATGGACAGTTTTTGCTCGAGGAGCTCCGGATGCCAGTAAACTTTATACCTCATGATTCATCAATAGTGAATTACCCTGACTTGCAAAGTAAGGTCAAGGTAGTCTCGTTGTCCGTGTCCAAGCCGAAATCCGCTGGCTGTCAAAGACCTTGACAGTTTGCCCAGGTGGAGCAGGTCAAGTCAGCCCAGGCACGGGCCTTTGATGCAATCGGGGGGTAGAGGACTCGGTTTGTCCCGAAGCATCTCGAAGCAACAATCACAGTTGGGGCCGTTGCTGTTGGAGACAGCCGCCGAGAAGCGATTCGGAGTGCGACTCACCCGTGCAAAGCGCTATCTTGGAAGGGATGAGGCAAGCTATATCAGCGATGTGTTTATGTTGTTGGACAGCGCGTGCCACTGGAGGGTGTGCCAAACAGGATTTCACTACATTTTGCTTTTGCTTGTTCAGCTGTGACTGCGAATCTCAGCCTTGGCAGTCACGCTCATGAGGACCCTGCAGATCCACTTCCTGCCAGCAACACTTTGCATACTTTTCGCAATTTGCCCAGAAAAGGTCAATCTTCTGGAGCCTAGAGGGATGGAAAACCGTGAACATCACAGAACCCTGCGCGAGGCCGGTGTGCTGAAGGCCCAGACAGCTGCCGAGGCAGAGGCAGCGCGGGAACCTGCGGAACTTTTATGGGCGGGAGGGGAATTGGCAGCCTTGCTGCCAGTTAGCTCTTCTGGGACCGCTGTTATTGCATATTCAAAGCCAACCATTCCCGAGAAAAGAATTACCAAGCCAAAGCTGAAAACGCAAGCCATCGGCGAAGGCCAAGGCCACGCCAGAGGGCGGTGGCGGAGCGCTAGACAAGGAGCCGCCCACGGGGACGGGGCCCTCTTTTGGAGTTCCATGCGTTGCTCGGGGCAGGAGCTGATCAGGTTGGCCACAGAGTTGGAAAGATCAAGCGAGGAGGCCTCCAAGTCTGTGGCAGGCAGGGCCCATAACGAAATGGACTCATTGTCCTACATGGTTTCTTTTGGACTTGCGGAGGCTAAGTCTGCAGGTCTCTGCAGGATCGCACCGGGATGTTGCCTCCGGAGACTTTTCACATCCATCTCTTGACACATAAATTAAGGTGCTGTGCGGAAAGAGCATGTCGAATCATGCAGCTGCATCCCCGTGCAACCTTTCGTGTAGCCATTCGTGGTGAGGGCATCTACCAGTAAACAACGAGCTGACGAACCTTCAGCTTGCAAGTTCGGCCGCAGCATTCATTTCCCACTCCTAGGTTCTTAGCTTTGATGTGAATCTCAGTCTTCCTTGTTTCTTCCGGTGTGCTCCTCGAAGTGCAGCCCGTCCAGGATGCATGGCCCGCATGGATGGCGCCACAAACATGATGCGGACATTCGGACTGCATCTGGCGGGATGTGGCCCCTGAGGGCCGACGGCAAAGTACAAAAGGGCTTTACAGCTTCTCAAACGACGTGCTCAGGATACGTGGACCAACGGAGGCCCCTGCAACGTCGGGTCTTGGGCACGTGGTGTTCGGGACTTGAGGAGAAGTGTGGGCAGGCAGAGCTTGTGAGGTCAAAGTAGGCTGCGGAAGTCATCTCGAATTGAGCACCCAGTTCAGGTCTGAGATACTTGAGAAGGGACATGCTGGGACCTAGGACCCAGCTTTCCCCATCACTCAACTCGCAGCAAAACTGCAGCCAGGAGCTGAAGGCTTCGGCTGGTGTTCTGCAGAGCCTGCAGCCCAGTCTGGCAGAGAGAGTCGGGAGCTTTAAGCATGCGTTGCCATGCCGCAGCCGATTGTCTCTACAATCGACCCCGCCTAGCTTTGTAGCCATGCTGTTCGAGCCAGAGCTCCTACGGGAGGAGCGCACGTTGGAGACGTAGGCTGCGTGATTTGGAGATCCTTGGAAGCCTGTGGAACTGTGGAACTACAGAGGCCCAGAAAGGCAGGCCTGCTATTCATCCTTGCCCCTGTGCCAAGAACCTTGAAAGCCGGCGAAGCAAGTCCTGACAAAGTTGAAGATTTGAAGTTAGCCTGTGAGAAGCCATCTATCCAAGATCGGGCGCGGACGGTCAAGTCAAGCCTCGAAGAGATGCTGCAGAAGGCCGGGCCCGGGGGCTTTTGTGGGGTGGCGACTACGTTAGATAGTTGAGGGGCTAAGTTTAGCCGAGGTGTCAGACTTGTTCACTGATGAGGCTGTGCAAGCTTTTAGGCTTTATCCTCATCCAGATCCAGGAGCATCCGTTCCCCTTCCATAGTGCATCGTGACAAAAAAGGCATGCATTTCAATGCTCATGCCCGAGAGACAGCAGAGATCGGGAGGCCTGCTCGTCCTCGCTGCAGGATGCTGAACCCAAACCTGCTGTCCCGTTGTCCCAACGCCACCTCATGTCAGTTCACCTCAGCGCTTGCACTGCACTTCTGAGGCCCGCGCTGCGAAGGCCACCGCGGCTCAGCGCGTCGAGCGCGAAGTCACTTGACCGAGCACATCAGCCTTTCAGGAACTTGTGATACTTGTGACTCAGCATTTGTCGCCGTGATTCCTTTCAGTTCATGTCTCAAATCCCGGGATTCGGGATCTAGGCTTCTGTCCAGCCGCTCGTAAATGACCTGCAGCTCCCGGTTAAATAGGTAAATAGGAAAGCCCCGAACGCAGCAGAAGCGCCCGGCAAAGGTGCGGAAAGCTGAAGCCTTGAAGGAGGCCGCGCGCCAGGCCTGGCGGGCTGTCCAATTCGGGATGCATCAAGTTGCTTGCTGGCCCGGGTTTGAGAGTGGTCGATCCCAGCTTCAGCAAACTTAGCGTGTCAAGCGCGAAGTGGCAAAGGAGAAGTCCGCTTCGCGTCCCTAACAGAAGAAGCGGGGCCTCCATCGATCGCGTTTACTGCCTTCTGCTTGGTTTGCAGTGTTTCAGGATTTCATCATGACAGAAGCTGAGTTCTTGTGACATGGCTGGCCTGGCCGCATCCACAGGAAGCCATCTTCAGGCAGTACGACAAGGCAGCGGTCTGCGATGCGTTCCTGCCCAGTTTCGCTGAACAGGTTCGCCGCAATCCAGAGATCCGTAGTCTGTATAAGGAAGGGTACCGTTTCGAAAGGCCGAGGGATCCCAAAAGGCTCTCAGGAGTCGCCGCTCGCGAGGTCTTCGAGGGCCAGCAAGCCCAACAAAGCGTTATGTCAGCATGTCGTCGCGTCCATGAAATCTACAACAAGCCACTTCGAATGTCATGCCCAACTACACTACACTCCGAACACTCTTGCCTATGAATGCCTGAGTTGCGCAGGGTCTCCGCAATAGTTCTGAAAACTCGTTTGAACGACGCCGATTTGTGAGAAGAGTGACAGCAACGATCTCGGGAGCGCTTTCTCCTATCAAGACCGTGCCGAAAGGAAGGGTTCAGGCATCAGAGCATGCTTTCAAGAGTGCTTGCGGACTTGCACCCAGCAGCCGGGATTGAAAAGAGGGTTCGCAGCACAGTTAGGATCGCTCAGCAAAGCAACTGAAAGGACAGCGATGGGCTGCTCGATGAGTCCGAGATTCGAGCCCAAGTCTCAGTGGCTTTGGGGGCTCGGGTTTGGCTTGGGAATTGTGGTATAGGCTACATTAGGTCCTTATCCTCCTTCGAGATTCCGGTATGGGAATGTCACGCTCGAACTCGGGTTGAGCCGGGCTGGCTCCTGTCAGAGCTTCAGGTCTTCAGTTACCAGCGATTTCACTACAAAGCCGTGTGAGGCTGGCCTTGGATTCTGAGGCCTATATCGCTGGCGAGTACACCTTTCAGCTTGCAGAGGTCGCCAAGACTTCAGCTGTGAAATGAAAAAACCATGCGTTGGAGCCGCACAGCCCAGTCGCTCTTGCTTGCTGCTGCGGCTCAGCCTGGTATTCCAGGTTGCCACACCTCCTCTGTAGATATCAAGCACTCTAGCTCGGTACAGGAGAAGCTCGCGCAGATCCTTTCAGCAAGTCCCGACGGCGTTTCGCACGCGGATTTCGCAAAGCTGAGGCCGCTGGAGCTGGAGATTTGGCTTCTGGGTGCTTTTGGTATTGACTCTGTGGTTCAGCGTAGATGCTTGGGCCATGGGCGCAGGACTTTTGATGGGCCTAGGGATATCGCAATGCAGACAGGAACGGCTGCTTCTCATAGTTTCCAGAAGCAACAACATCTGGGTAAATGGTGAAAACATGTGAAAACGAACTTCCGGCAAATGCACCGTCTCCTTTGTACTGGGTCTGGTGAGCCAGGGCTGTGCCCAGACTTGATACCAAGGCTGTCATGTCCTTCCATCAGTTTGCGCCAGTAGGATGTTTTCGGAGGTCGCAGATAAACGACGCCTGGAATGAGGTCTTGAACAAGCAGAGGACGGCCTGCAAGACCCGCCGATGCATTTTCTATATGGCACGAACCGTCTCGCAGGAAGGAGAAGAACGACAAGCAGATGGCGATGATCAAGAGGAACTCCGCCGAGATCCTGCCGGGCTCACAGTGTCCCAAACCTCGGGCGGAAGCTCAGCTGAATCCTTGTGAGGTCGGCCCTGAGCGGCGTTGAAAGCGAAGTCGCGAAGGCCGAGGCCCAGGCGGCTCGGCGGCTCCCAGCTCCCGGCGAGTTCCGGTGGCTGTTACTGCCGAAAGAAGACAGAGTGGCTGTCTGGCAGCTTAGTGTCTATTAGGGTGGCCTTCTAGTGGTTTAAGATCGTCACGAGTCAGAAGTGACTGGCTCCAGAGCGCCAGGGAAGATCGTGCGGAGGGAGTGGGGGATTCTCCGGCATACGCTGTCCGGGAAGGTCCGGATACTGGGCCCCATGGTCACGCGTGGCGTGACCATGCTGGACATGCTTGGCGAGAGGAGCTTCACCGGGCTAGAACCTAGCGGTCCAAGTGATTTGGACGATGCATCTTCCATCTTTGCCGCAGCGTCGATGGCTTGCTGAGTCTTGTTTGAGGATACGCTCGCAAGAGCTGAATGTAAAGCTGAAAGCTAGCTGCCAGCTGTTTGATCTGTGCGTGACTAGTAGTGATAGTAGTGTTTACAAATCGAACGAAGGCCTCCCGCGAACTCTGGAATGAAACTGTGCCAGGACTGAGGCGGCGGAGAGTGCTGTCGATGCTGCAAGAGACTTCTTGGCCGCTGCGAAGGAGCAGGCTACGCCAGAGTAGGAAGGACATGAGCCTGCTTCAGGATGATAAACGTGGAGTGGTTGCGAGGGGGCAGTGATGGGCAGCCGTCGACCAGGGGGACGTTTGTGAAGTGATGGTAGTTCAGAATAGCCCTTAGATGCTCTGAGTCTGAACTGGACATTGTGCGGTGATGCAACGCCGGGCTCAGCCAATTGATAACGCAAAGAGCTTGAGAGCGACTGCCTGGGAATGGCAGCGACTCATTCACCGAGTGGTAAAGTTGTTCAACGGGGCTACCTGAGCTCTGACACATTCGCATCGCGGTGCACGGCAGGGAAGAGACGACCCATCCCAGACACGAGATGATCTGAATTGCTCTGTCCTCGATTGCCGCCTGCAGGCCTTGGCGTTGGGTGTCGACAGCAACTTCGAGACCGAGGCACCGACCTGGCTCTTAATACATTTTGAACAGCTCTTGGCGGCTGACGGTTCAAGGTCGCCATCGAAATACGTAGTTCAGCTAACAGAAATGCTTGGTGTTGGAGGATACAGAATTCAGGCGAATGGTGGTTCGGGGTTTGCAAGACAAACCTCGTTTCTCCAACTTGGAAGTATCAGTATGCTGCCAGCTCTGGAAGCTACGGTGCATGCGTCCGTGTGTGTGTGTGTGTGTGTGTCCTGCTTCGGATGAAGGGTACCGCCACCGCCCAGCTATAGGCACGTACAGTATGCCCCAAAACACATTACAATGCCCTTGGTTAAGGCGCAGTTTCTCAAAATGGACAAGGCTAGGTTTCCCGTTGTTTGGGTAACTACAACAACCAAGCATAGCCCAGTTACTCCCTGATTACTGTGACATAAAAAAAGAGCTAAGCGTACTTCCCAGCTGGTGTAGATCCCAAAATGGGCAACACCAGGTTGATTCTTTTCTGTGGTTCATGGTATGCGCTAGTGGCGCGACTTCATCACACAGAGTTTTTGAATCCTGCGCCGTGCGTGTTTGCCCGCGCAGGTCAAAGAAGGTATATACGCAACACCGCAACACTCGGGTTTCTGCGTTGCCCAGCCATGAAAACTGATAACATTGTTGTCGATTTTCTGCTGGCGCGGATTCAAAACGGTACCTACCGTACAAAGTACGATATGCCAGCAACTAAAACACAGATGACTTCATAAATATGCCGTCTGAAAGGATATGCAACGAATCATGTTGAGCTTGTCTGGACATAGGCAAGAAACATGTGCGTCAAGGGACGAAGATGGACTCAGAGAGTTTTATTCTGAAAGTGTTGTAGAGGAAACGTGCTTAACGACATAGCAGCTTAACATACTACAGTGGAAACTACACAGTTCTGAAGTCTTATAAGACACAGTTGAAAAGTTGTTGAGTTGTGTAAGTTACAGCAAGTGTATGCATCGATTTTTCGATCACGAAGATTCAGAACATGTTTTTAAAGATATCAACAGACCTTAAAGCAACATCAAGGAGGACAAGACAGTGGTCAACAAACACTCAGACTCAGAGCTAATTGTATACGTTGAAAATCTTGGTGCCAATGATGGTTGTAGACACACCATATTTTGATGAACCACTCAATCATGTTAAATATCGGGTTGAAGAGTCTATTCACGAAATGGAAGAATGGTGTCTCGAATGTTTGAAACAACAAATGTTTAAACAAGAACAATTTACTTATATAGTGCATATTAGTTGAAAACTAAATGAACAACGGTTCTATTTTACTGGAAACCATAATGAAGAAACCTGGCTTAGTCCATTTTGGGAGTTTCACCACCGGAATAGGCTAAATTTTGTCTGCTACAGTGTTTGGGGCCAAATTATGTCATTAATTAACCCAAGCTGGGGGGAAGCCTACCCTTGTCTGTTTCACCTTACAACAAGATATTTTCCACGTGGTGATGTGTTTTTTGGCATACCTGGCAGTGGTGGTCAAATCAACCAAACTAGACAAGCCCGATGCTAACGAAAGCAGCGTTCCCTGTTTACTTGTTTCTGCAAAGATTGGTGGCTCAGTGTCCAGCCCACCATAACATCCTTCCAAGGGCAACCAAGGCTGTCTCATGTGATGCGATTCAGAAGTTCAGCCTAACATCTTCCCGAAAGCGACCCCCAGAGTCCTTTTGAGTTCAGTCGCAAAGCAGCCAGAGATGTACGTGAAACAAAAACTGCCGCTGCGGAAGTTAGATTCACTCCAGGCATCTGCAGGCCTCGCCCCCCCCCCCCAAACTTTTAATAAGCTCGAACTTTTGTGATCAGTTCGAGTCACAAGAGGCCAAGCAGATGGCTGCAGTGGAGGCCAGGGATTTCCATTTGCCGCGAAGAGTTTGCCGAGTCAGCCTAAGCCGTCCTGAATCATTCAATTGGGACATGCTTCGGCTTTGCGAATCCACTTCGATGCAGCAGTCTGTTCCAACGCGTCGTTCACGTAGGCTTTTTCGCGGCCTCTGATGCCACCGTAAATCACTGGAGGCACTGTAGTGGCATTGTAGCTGCCAGTACCGTAGTTCGAGCAAGCCATCCTGAGTTCGCAAGGCCCCGCACAAAGAACTGTTACGTAGCCGACGTAGTGGGAAATAAGTTCCCGAACAGGCCAGGAATCTGCAGATGAAGGTTACGGCGCTTGAGAATCGTGTCAACACGGCAGCGCACGTGTCGAAGGCCAGCATGTTTTGGCTTGTGCGTGTTGTGTATATCGCTGTATGCCTGGGAGGGTTCAGTCGGAGCGACTTTATTTTGCTTGTTGAACAACACGAATGCAATGTTAAGAGTGATACCGATGTTGTGTCTCTGCAGGCCGCCCGGAGCAAAATCCAGCTCCAGGAGCGGAAAGCGGCTCTCCTCAGGGAGGCGCCGGAGTTGAGAGCGGATTGGATTTAAGACGATAAGTCTATGTGGAGGTCGGGGGCAGGATTGGGATTGGCGGCTTCCACTTCACGACAGTGCTATACGATGATGTGTCGGCTGAGCTTTATTTATAAACACAGGGTGCTTCACTTGTTCACATTCGAGGGTAAGGCAGTTCCAGTTCCTGTCAACCCCGTGGTCGGCTCCGTTCTGGCACCGCTGTTCTTTCTATGACCCTGAGCACTCGAATCTTGAACACCTCGCAGCATTCAATCGAAACCCCTCCAAGCCCGCTACAGGCAGCGACGATGTGAACGTCAGGGTCCAGGCGAAACAAGCTTTCGAGTGAGATTGTGAGAGATTTGTGCATGCCCCGTCAAAGATGATGAGACATGATTCGAGCTGAAGCAGGATGAGATCGGTGATGCAGTGAGTAGCCACCCCGAGCCAGCAAGATGCAACAAGATGTTGGGGACCGCATGAGAGCCAGTCGAGGAACCTGCAACTGGCGCTTGCATCACATGCAAGATAACAGAGACATTTGTATGTGGCGCAGAATTTGTTCCTTTGTGCCAGGTTTGCAGTATGTATTGGCAAATGGGGGAGGCGCCTTTTGGGAGGTTTCCATGGCTTCGCAGGGAGCTTTCGGGGGAGCACCGCGACGGAAGGCCGCAGCACTTTCCAAAGGACGCGGAGTCAATGTCTTCCCAGGCGACATAGCATTGCTCTGGCCTTGCTTACTGTAGCATGTAGCACCAGGCGCCGAATCGTACAACTCGATATCTCGACTGACTAACTTTCATGCCTGTCAGCTATGGCTTGTAGTGGTTGTCTTCAGAGCACAGGCACTCGTTTGCACAGACTGGCTACGAATTGTAGTCCTTGTAAGAACTTGCTCCCTGACACACTTAGGACCCCAAGATACCTAACGTGTGCAACAGCATCTGGATGCCTTATGCACGTCCAATTTTTTCCCCATACTGAGTTACTGCATATGTATTATCGGCCTTGGTCTTTTCGGCCGAAGCTAGCATGACGTGAACGTTGTAAGGTTTTGGATTGACTCCTTGTGTCAAGTTGCGTAAGTAGCATGTGAACTCAAGGGAATGCGTGCTACAAGCAGTAGCCTCGGTTGCCGAGAATCCATTTGTTGGAGCAGGAAATGACCGGGGCCCGTGACAACACTTTGCTGACTTCTCCAACAGCCAGACGAGAAGGTTTGAACTCCGCCTTTGCTTTGCATCATAGGAGCTGCAATAGAGGACATAAGCTTGCTAGCCTTCCAGAGCTCTGGAGTCGGACCTGGCATCCGAGTACCCGGGAATTGCCGATCCCATCCTTCAGTGAATCCCCGCAGTTTGGCCCCCATCTCACACATCCAATCTTAGGCCTGGGCTGAGTCTTGCTGTTGAAGACGATTGTCTTAGGTAGCAGTGGCGTAAGCTGGAGTGGAAAAGGCAACGTGCACAGTCGAGTTGCTGTTTGCTTGGGGTGTGAGGGTACTGCCCGTGTTGTGTTATGTGTTGTGATTGTGCTTGTGTTTGTGTGCGACAATGCCGTACTCTGCGGTACCTAACGCACTTCCAACTGCGACGAACAAAAGGGAGACATCCTCCCCTGGTCATCAAGAGGATCGCATGAGTGCCGAGGGCCAAAGCCGCCAAAACTCCGTTTTGATTGGCTAATTAGCTTGCAGCCACCGGCTTTTCATTGCAAGCTCTCCGCGATTTTTTTCTCTTCAAAGTTGGCATTTGGCACCTCTGAGCCCGCAGAGACCAACAAGATCCAACAAGCGCGACTCTCAGGCTGCCAGTCTTGTTATGCATAGGGGCTGCATTGAGCGCGTGAGTTTGTTCTTGCAAGCACTTTGCACTCGTCGTCATGAGAATGCCACAGCTTCCGTTTTGGCTTTTTGACCGTTTCATTTGCAGGGAAACCTTTTTTCCCTCCAGTGGACCCTCATATCTGAAAATTACGGTTCACTGTCTAAGGCATATGCCAGTTGCGAGTATCCCTTTGCAAGACCTGATTCGGGTCAGCACGATTGATCTTCCGATAACATGTCCCCCGCTGCCACATGCCTGCTGCTGACCCATGAACTGTCCTGCGAACCTTCCTCAATGAGGCTCTTCATATCCTGGCACAAGAAAACATGGCACCTGCTGGGCTCCTGAGTGTGCGGGCAAAGTGGGTGATGGCGAGAAAGTCTATTCTAGCGATAGGGTCGATGGGATCCGACAGGGGGCGGCTGTTGACACAGTGGTGTGTTCAATCAAGATGTGCGGGACTTCCGGTTTGGGTCTTGAACTGTTCGGGATCGCGAGATCAATCGAGTTCTTCTGCAGGATTGGCCAGTGCGGCGACTCTCTCTCCCTCTCCCTCTCGCTCTCACTCTCACTCACTCGCTCACTGACTCTTCTCTCTCTCTCTCTTTCTCTTTCTTTCTGTCTCTGTCTCCACATGAAGAGCATGATTGCAAGCCAAGGCAGCGAGACCCGGTCATGAATCTGTTTGGTGTGGCACAGATCCGGAAATATGGGCTTCGTTCGAAGGAGCTTTCAGGCTAAGTGCCGGAAGCAAAGCCCAGGTGTCCAAGCCTTCAAGCTCTTCTGCGCAAACGTTCCAAGGCCGGGGATTCCAGGGCGGTGCCAAAACTCCAGTTCTTGGGCAACTCTCGTTTCTCACGTCAGTGAATTCGAAAGGAAAACACCCTGTATTTCGGTTTGTTTCTTTGTGTATGTACTTGTGCATCTTTCGGTGCATCGGGTTTATCGTTGAAGGAAGAGCAAAAACCTCTTGTCCAGCCCGAGTTTGATCGGCCCATCCCTGCGACCTCGATAGCGTTGTCTAACATGGATGAAAATGGGCGATTCTTGACGATGTTGTGCTTTCCTGCCCCACGCTATCTCGCTGTTGTTTAAGTGTCGGCTGGTCGGGTTGCTCTAGCCCTGTAACCTCGAACGCACCGGAATGCAGGTGAAGCGAAATCAAATTCGACTCGGGTGTGTCTGGCAGCCGACCCAGTGGTTCTCACGGCCTCGGTTGCTCTTTTGGGCTTGCTGTTTGAACGCAAAGGTTTGCTCTCAAGACAGGCTTCTGTGCACTTGCACACTGCTTGCGTTCAATTGCAGTTGGCTGCTGCGAAACGAAGCCCGGTTCTGCAGCCGAGCTTGTTTTTCGCCGTCTTGTCCAACCGGTCGAAAAAAGTATTGTCCGGTGCTGCATTTACGCGGTAGTGGCATGTAGTGGCTGCGGTGCCTGCAAGCTACAAGCTCCTTCGTTGTCTTAGTAGCTGAGTGAGCGCACTTTTACACTTTTTGGGATAATATGTCTTGAAGACATAGCTTGGGGTTGGATTCGGGGGTGCAGAGGCGAGCCTCAACGGGGAATTCTGCCTCCAAAAATTGTCGTGATGGCTTGGGATGCAGAGCACGCAGGAAGGAACCACCAACTGCAAAATGTCATGGCTTGCAAGAGTAGCAGCTTCCATGTCCGGATGGGAAACGGTTTTGGGAAACGACTGGAACCGAACCGGGAGTCAGGTGAAGGAGGTGCGGAACTGGCGGAGCTTGAGGGGCCCCGCCCCGCCCTGGCCGAGGCATGGATCCTGGCATGCCTTTTGCTTCTTGCGGCCGGCTGGTCCTTTTCAAGCGCTGCCCTCAGTCCGGGAGGTGTCCATCCATGGCAGTCGCCGAATTAAGATGAAGCCTGGATTGCACGCAGAATCATGCAGCAGCAGACGGTCCTGAAAGTAGCCTTCTCTTGGAAGTTTCGGGCAGGACAGAAGCACGAAGCCACACTTCAAATATGGCCCTCCCTCGCGCGTTTGCAACATGGATTGTTTTTACACACCCCCAAGAACGGTGCCGCTGGTGCCTGCACACCTGCGGTGCACTCACGTACTGCATTCAGGTCGACTTATGTGAACAGCGGCGTACTTCGGTTATGGGCCTTTAGCCATCATGCCTCATAAAGCTAGGAAGCCCCCATACCCGAGCCCGACGAGCCGGAAGCCTGTGAAGGTGAATGCGTCGACTCCGAAGATGGGTCAGCTGCTTACAAGAGCAGTCACGCTACTCATGCTTGGGCTTGGAAGTGAAACACAGGGCTGAGGAGACGCTTGAAGTTCACTCTCAGAGCTAAAATCAGTTCCAATGCTGCTGGAAGTGTTTTGGTCAAACCTTTTGGGAGCCACATGTCGTGAAGCAGAGCCCTGACCAGCTTACTCACTTCTAGCTAGTGTGGATTCCCGCCAACTCTTTGCCTAAGATGGTCAGGGGTCTCGAGATCTGCAAATACTGCTATGGTCTTCGTTTTGATCGTGTATTGACTGCATGTGAGTGTGGTGGGAGAACTGGGGCAGGGTATATCTGTCGTGTGGCAAGATTTTGCTGGGGACAAAAGCCCTCGAAAGGAGCTTTCCAAAGCTCCCTGGAGCTGGAGCAACGAATGAGATGCAAAGTGGAGCCCTTGCCTGCCTCTTAGCGAGGCCCGGCAGTGCCACGGCAGAGGCTGCTATGGTCCGGCCCTCCAGTGCGAAATCAGACAAAACTGGCATCGTGGCAGTGCAGGGGTATTCATGCCTTGTCCCGAAGACTAGCACAGACTTCACGCCAGCCTTCGTACTGTCCACAAGCTTTCGAAGATGAACCTTAACCAGGAGAGATCTCACAGATAAGACCAGCCGATTCCGACAGGTCGCCCTGGTCTTCGGACTGGCCGCAGCAGTTGGCGCGCAGCTCGGAGTTCCGCTTCCGCCGTGAAGATTTTACTTGCAGGGGCGAGGTACTTTCGATTCTATCAGCTTAGGGTATCAGCTTAGGGTTTCGGCCCAGGCACGGAGCTTTGGAAGTTCTAACCCCCATTTCCGATTTATCTGATGAAAGTAAGCTCGAGCCGCAGCAAGGGCATCCGTACACAAACACATAAATCCCAAGCAGATGCAGTTAGCTTTTGATGTCCAGCAAGGTCGCTTCTCCAAGCCCGCCCCACCTCTGACGATCTGAGTGACAAGTGCCGTCAAGGCCACGGGT